AAGTAATTCCGGATGCAGAAGGAGGCTATCCTGCTTTGAGCAGCTCACACAAAGTAACTGGAGTCGGGACTTTACGGATAAGTCAGGTCAGATGGCGTTGAAGAACGACTCTCAGGATAACCTAAATTCATTCACTTACAGAGCAGACTATCACCCCAATACTGTTTTGCGTCTGCTGAAGCATTACCACGTGGGATATGGTCATACAGCAGGGCTTAGCTGTGGAAATATAACGGTCACACACGCACAATGTCCTTCTACTTCGGTGTTCACCTTTACTCCAAGTCGCCTCTTGTGTGTAGTTAGAAGCTTAGGAGTAGTTAAGTCACTCTCATTGTTACATCGTTCATCAGGAGCAGTGGCCTATAAGAACTGATAGTACTTGGCGAACTACACACATCTGCAAACTAGGTTCATGTAAACCGAAGATGCAACTTAATTTCTAGTTTGCAGCAGTAGTCCTGTTGAATGGACAAAACAGGCGTTTTAACCTCCTAAAAAATTGGCTCCGGTAAATATGCAGAACAAACTTGGGCATCTGCGCTTTCTTTAGAGGTCTTGTGATAAAGTCGAAACACCGCTCAGGCCGGAACTAGGTTCCCCAAACAGTCCTTCACTTTTCTGTGCCCAAAACGGTTGGTTCCCATTTACGCTTGTTATATAAACATGCGCGCACTGGTTTGTTGTCATGACAGTAAAGGCACTAATGGCAGTAAATAAAGGATTTCAGTACAATGAGGATACTGTCTTGACCACATTCAGAGATAAGTTAAAAGTACCGTACTGTATGCTATCGTAACAGTTGATGGAGTTGAAAATCTTGAGTACGACAGTGACACGGGCGTACATGCCCACCACCACACCACTGATAATTGCAAATATGGTCCCGTTTCAGCAGTAAATGAAGGATTTCAGCACAATGAGGATACTGTCTTAACCACAATCAGAGATAAGTTAAAAGTAACGTACTGTTTGCTATCGTACCAGTTGATTGAGTTGAAAATATTGAGTACGACAGTGACAAGGGCGTACATGCCCACCACCACATCACTGATAATTGCAAATATGGTCCCGTTTCAGAACATCAGTCGTGCTCCATGTAAAGCACAATCCTGGGAATGTAGCCAAAGCACCATTAGTTAATGTGTTAGAATCTACAGGGAATGAAAAGCAGGCGAACTTAATTCATCTTATCCGTAGTTACCTTACTGAACTCACTCACCATTGGAAAATTTACAAATTATCGTGCGATGCTCTACTCGTTTGTTGTTCCTTTTAGGATAGATGTGTAAATGCAAGTTAGTTGCACTATACCCCAATAATTCAAGGACGCGGCTGATTCACAAAACCTCTCCGGCGCAAGATTTCTTCCAGAAATTCTTGATGAAGCAATTTCTAGGGGACGTTTCAGCGGATTGGAAAGACGCATATGGGCCAAACAGCAAGAACATATTCGTCTAGGTTGATAATATACACTTTCAAATCCACTACTATTAGGTGTTGTAACATAATTGGGATCAAACTGTGTTCAAAAGTTACCCAGACAAGTTTGTCTAAATCGGAGTACTGGGCGCTAATATTTACCCCGAACATAGTATTATGTTTTGGATGAATGCTCGCATCAGGTGCATGTTTCCACCATATTGCGCTGTTTCAGAAATGCCATTGAGTGATTGGGGACCAAGAATGTGGTAAAGGAGAGATTCAGTTGAGTCTCTAATGAAAACCGAATTGATGTGCAGATAAGTGTATTTGTTGATGTTCAACACGGGTTCAAGTAGAACGCAAGGTTGACAGGGACCCAGGGACTGCGTCTAACTGATAAGCCCCAAGAGAGTTGAAGCCTGTCGTGGGCTGTTGAAGAGTTTCCTGCAACCTTTTGAGTAGTTTCCTGTAAGAAAATACACCGTGGTATCTCGAATATCGTACCAGCTGAAACATAAGGCAACCTTTGTGCAGCACATTCAGTTGGAGAATATCGTAAAGAAGAGGTTCGGTTGAGTCTCCTGTGAAAACCAAAATGATAAACAAGTGTTTCTTAATTTTTCCAAATAGGTCTTCCCACTTTGGGAAGACTGATAAGCCAGCATGAATATACAGTTCGTGTTGTCACGGAACAATTTCTGGGACATTCGAGCATGAACAAGGACAGACTTTTATCAGTGGAATTCTACTTCGAACCTGCTTTACATCATCACATGCTAGCGAGAAACCTAATACTGGATTCTACTTTAGCAGAATGGAAGTTTCAGTGAACGTTGTTGCACACCAGCTGTTTTTCTTAACCTTCTGAGGACTTGTTGGCTATCCAAATTTATAACTTCATTTGAGTTCAAGTGCGTGCTTTAAGAACTGTAGCCGGAGGTGCTCATTACCTAAAACAATCAGTTAGGCAACTAAAATGATGTTTTTCTTTCAAATATGGGAAAGGAAAAGTAAAAAGGCATCTACAATTGGCTCAGATGAAGACTAGTTTCACAAAAGTGAAACATCCTCTTGAAAAGTCGTCACTTAACGGGACAGTAAGTACATGAACACGTGATTCGGTTTCCGTAATTGAACGATGAGTGGCATTATGTCCTGTCTGAGGGAGAGCTTATCACACTGTTGATCAGCATCTTGCGACCATACGGTTACATGTTCAACTACGGACCAGAACGTTGCGGGTTCATATGACTTAGTGGTTAGAGCGCGAGTTAACTGACCGGAAGGTCCGCGGTCTTAACCCGAACTCTGCCTCTTGACTTCCTCTGTCTAGGCTTGAGCAACCTTGCAGTGATTTCTTTGGGTGGCATGGCAGCTAGGCACCCAAAGGGTGTTACAGCTCAACAACTTTTTCTGTGAGTTTCGTAAGATGCGCACGTTGATGATTCTCAACAAGGATGACAACTGTACGATGCTTCCCGGCCTTTCAAAATAGACTGGCAGGATGAACTCTCTGTTGAAAAATTTAAAATAGTCCTTCACTGTCATCAGGATAAGTGCACATTATGGTTTCAATCGGGCCGGTCAAATGGAAGAAGTGGCAGACATCAAAATATACCGCACTTATCTGAATTTTCAATGTGAGTGTGATTTTTCCCTGATGCTTCTGAGTGCACGTCGATTGTAACACGATTCCTCTACGCTCCCTATTCACCATACTGTTCACATGGACGGGCAGTACACAACAGCTGATTTGACGTCTGTCTGGTACAGACATGTGAGATAAGTCTGACAATGCGCAGAGCAACTGAGGCCGTGATAACTAACGAACAGTACTAATTCATATGTGTCGCGAAAATGCAGAAATTTTGCAGCAGAGTGTGCGAGAAGTAGACTTGAGATCCGAAACTTTGAACGAATTTCCGTGTGTGGAATCACAAATGAGTATCGACCACCTTGCACACATCAGTTCTGGTCAGCAGTTGTTCTTCATAAGACTTATGTGATGTAATACAGAATGACATAGCGAGAATTCATTTGTCACACATGTATGCAATCGCCAGTTGGCCATTCGGTCATGTGTTATGGATCCCGCTAAGCGTTTGCATAGATTCCTCTAGGTTAGACATTTTGTGTATCTGTGGGCGAAGACAATGACCAGCTTGAGGACATGGCTTCTCCCTACAAACTACATTGCAGAGGTTCGAAGCTGTGTGTTTACCGTTCTCAGTACACGTTAGTCTGAAGGAACCGCTTACGCATCCAGTTTGTGTAGAATTCAGTCCACTGAGTTGGTGTAATAGATACATATTAAACTGTGCAATCAGCACACAGTACAACTCGTTACCACGACATTCTTCTGAGGGTAAAATTTTACCGATGAGCCCGAAAATTAAAGCTTAAGGCGGTGGCAATACTCTCTTTACAATGGAAGCGTCATCAATGAACGAACACAAGGGGTATTTGGTGAAAGTAAAAAAACTTGGTAGAAACGAGTCTAAAGGGCTCAAAACTCAGATGAATCGGACGGGAAATCGATATTCATTCTGATAGCAACACTGAACATCCATACTGGGAAGAGTTTCCTCCCTAACTTTAATGTGTGAGACAATACGGAAGTCAAAAGAAAAAGGAAAAGCTCCAAACATCGACGCGGTAAATTGAACAAAAATAACTTAATCTGATGAGTGCTGTTTTTGCGCTAGACTTGTACACATTCAGTTAGCCCAATCCATAGCGAGCACTGACAACTAATCGAAAAGGATCGTCTTAATGAGCTGGCGAGGTTGTTGTAAAATGTTCAAATCAATCCTGAAGGAAATTCAAGGCCCACCCTCCATGTATGGTTAAGAAAATTATGAGCTGTGGATTTTAGATGAATCTTCCAATTCTGTCAGAGCGAAGAAAGCTCAGCCTACAAGTTCCGAAACAAGTGTTCGACTGGATACCTCAGAATTGGTCACAGTATTGGAGGTTGTCATACAGCGGCACTTTGCGGACACTGGTAAAAAAATTTGACAAAAGCGCGGAAAGTTTATCTGGTGTGTATGCATGATCCTTCCAAGTGGACTGCTCAGTTCAAACAAATAAATGGTGAATAAAACTTTCCTCCAACCAAGCATAACATAAGGTTGACGCCCCAAGAAGGGCGAAACCGGTCATGGGCTGTCGAAGAGTTTTCAGCGACCTTGTGAGTATTATTCCCAACCATTTCAGTTATCTAGGAAACATAATACAAGATTTACGAATATGGTGACGGGAAGAATATTCTGACCAAGAGATTGATCGTTGGGTTTCTTCCTGGTATTACCTTGTATAACCAGATGTGCCCAAATGGAGGGTTTCACAATGTTCAGTGAAATGTCAGCAACACGATTCTGTAACCTTAGTGAATATATTCACGCGGTAAATTGTCATAACCAGCTACTTCACATAAGCAATTTCATCGTTTGTCACAATTCACTTGAATCACAGAAATTACCTTGTGATTTGTATCCCCAACCAACCATATTGTGCTGATAAGTAGCTGTATGTAGAGAAAACCCCTGGAACTTTATGAAGTTGATGTCGGTTCACGGCCTCAAAGCAGATATTTTTGTGAGTTAGTTGATATCAATGCATGGGTGAGTGATATGCGGTGCATGTTAGCTCACTATTGATGATGTTCTCGGAGCTTCAATGGGGCAATCGGGTGTGATCATCCCTTGAATACCATTGTAAAATAACAACAATACCAGTAAAAAACGATTCGTCGCACAAGTTAAAATTATCACACTGTTGCTACAAGTAATTTAAATTAGCGGTGCGTATGACAAAACACTGAGAGTCATCGATGGATTTTGTACGGTATCCAAATAAGTTGGCAGTAGGTAGATTTTTCTGTTCTTTGGGCGGATGATCAATCAGTAGTTTTGACGCAGCGACCTAGAACGCCGGAACGAACGTTAAACATCGCTTGGCCGGTAGGACATCCGGATTTGGAGATGGAGACGCTGACCTTGGAGGAGGTTTGCTTGGTTCCGGCTGGCGCAACCACTTTGAGATGGTTGCCATCTAATGTGACATTCAACCAAGTGGGTAAGACCTGAGGAACCAGAGTTTTCGGGTAATGAATGTGAACCGGAACAAAAATATCGGCAACCAGAAGATCCTGCTTGGTTTCTATTGAGGACAAGTGGAAGGAATATGAAAAGTCTGCCGTTGATGGGTCAAAACTGTAGCGGATCGGGGCGCCCAAAGTGCGCAACGGATACACTCTGCTGAAAGCATTCAACTGTTAGGGCGGAAAAAATAACAGACGATTCTCATTGAAATTTGATTATGCGGAAAACTATTCTGACGGGAATGTGTATTGCTCTAGTGAATACATCTAAAATAAACCATGAAATCCAACAAAACGTAGATCACACCAACCAGATTTTACTCGGAGCATCACTCAAAACGGAAGACCTTCCAAACAAAATAAAGACAACATAAAGTGTCTTGTGAATCAATGTAGAGTGAGGGAACCGTGAGGTATCAATCCATTAGCATCTTGTCAGACTACAGCGAAGTATTGAGTGCCCGGTGTGTTGTAGTTCGGTGAAGCCTATACACATTTTTCTCTTGCTAAAGTTCGATGCCATTAATAAGGAAACCATGAAAACACCGATGCAAGCTGAAAACCAGCTCAGCAAACCAAATAATAAGTCAACACGTTACTCAATAGTCCCTCATTGGGTTTCATCCAGGAACAGTTGACAGACTCTCAGGTCCCAGATTCGGCGATAGGTCCGGTAACCTGAGAATCGTTACAATTATTGAATCTATACAAAAAATACCCCTGCATTGGAACCGGCTACACCACTTACATATATATATATATATGTATATGCTTATACTCTTACCATACACTTACAAAACAAAAAATTCCGAACGTGTAGGAACATAAAAGACACTAGAATCACACTTAGCCGCGCTAGTATCCCAACGTCTACCCCCATTCTCTAATGGATCATTATGAAGTTGGACGTCGTTGTTTGTGATGGACAATGTTATACAAAGACTAGTCATTTTTCAATGGAGGTCATGTCCTGTCACTGAAGCCAATCTATGGGGAACGGCCGATATGCACTGTGTCATCCTCTCTGAGATTCATGAACCGTGTGCATCTGACAAAATTCATAGTGTTTCGAATCCACGACCATCAGGCCAGTGGGTGAGCACTTGACCGTTTGATCACGAGCGGTTTGTCAGTAGTGTGATCTGCCCAACACAAAATCCTTATTGAGAATTACCAAATCTTTTCACAACACCACCATCACCAGCCTATAAGTAGCTCAGAGGAAGACCAGTTTCACAAGATGAGTCGATCTTCCTTCTGAGAAAACGTCTATAAGTGACCACGCGATTTGCTTTCTGTGGTTGAAAGAGGACTAGCGCAATGTCTTGTCTCAGAGAGAGAGAGAGAGAGGGCTAATCACTTTGCTAATCAGACGCTCGTGGGCATACGGTTAAGCGTTCAGCTAATGGCTGGAACGTTGCGGCTTTGCATTTCTGTGAGTTTCGTAAGATGTGCACTTTTGATGCGGTGCTCCTTGGCTTTTAAGTGGAGACCGGTTTCACTGACAGGACAAGATCGCCATTGAAAATTATCTAATCTCCTCACACCACTATTAATAAGGATAATGCCATTTGTCCAGCTGGTCCTTCAAAGCATTCTCGCTCATCGAGCGCCATGTTTGAAGAGGTTGAACAAACAGCTGCTGTTGAAGATGTGTTGGGTGCACCTCGTTTAGCTTTCACTATCCAGTAATCGGACGTTTGTTGGCGCATCATGTGCACGCAAGTGTTGCTGTCAAGAACAAATAAGAGTACGGACAAAACCACGAATATGCTTGTGCACTGCATACAGGAACTACAAGGTTACGACGGCGGATGGCAAATCATGAAGGTAAGCAGTGGAGGTTCGTCTAACAGTTGGATGAGCTCAGATGCAGTTTAACCGCCAAGCGCACAATATTTCGTAGTCATAAAAATAGGGCTGAATATGTGCGTGACTCCAAATATACCGTTCCTCACACAGAGACTGGTCCACTCAGAATAACGACACTGACACCTTTTGAAACCCAAACGTGCCTTCCAATCAACTGATCACTATGTTTACCTTCTTCCTGTTCTAACAAAAAAGCAGCAAGTCAAACACTGGAGACCAAAGGTACAACAAATAAACCTCAATTCAATCGGACGCTTATCCCTTGCATCCTCATGCGTAGGGTAGTTAAACTCATTACCCCTCGAAAAATTCCAAATGCCATGATTTACTGTCGCCTGACAACTTACGATTCAAAGACTATCCACTAATTTCGAGACTTGAGTACCTTCTACCATACCTCACCTTATTGTCGTGGAGGGTTTTAACGCCAATCGCTCTCACACGGGTGATGTATTTCAAACAAGGACACAGCTTGTGTGAGAACACGGCTAGTCCTGTACGTTGGACGGCTGAGTTAGCCGGCTCTTAATGTGTCCATTCGATTCATAGGTATTACTATCCCAGCCAAATATCATTCTTCTCTTCAAAGATATGTGGTTTGCATGCTTCGGACGCATATGGCTGAACCATAAACATAACCTAGTTATTGGTGAAGCTTCGAAACTGCGCAAACTTCACTTCGGTCTGATTGAGGCGTAGGAACAACTAGCTGGTCCTGTCAGTTGCTCTATGGTGATTTCTGAGCCTGAGTCATGCATGTCCAAGTAACATCATTCAAACACTGAAACTGCGAAGGGTTGAATGATTCAGCCATAGTCCCTTGGAACGAAATTGTTGCATGGGTAACTGCTGTAGCTGAATCCTGACCCGCAACGCAGTAGATGGCTGTCAAGTGCGGGGAACCATTTTCTTAGCGCGCCAATACGTTGCTTCCAGTTGGATTCGGTGTTTCCAGAATTAGACCGTTCCTCGAGAAGTTGACATGTCACCACTGTGATAATACTATATTAGTAAGTTAGACGCTCCAATTCTAGTGAATCCACTGTCTGAAATCACTGAAGTGGGAGTCTCCTGATACAGTTTGAATTGCATTTGCCAGGGGAAAAATATTTTCTCTGTGGCAGAAGGCTCGCTGTAACGGTACGGCATGCCAGTGGTTCATCCAGCTTATCCTTTCACTACATTCCAAGAGCATTTCAAATGACACACTTAAGGGACAAACAGCTGCTAAAACACGTCATTTTTACAACAGGTATATAAGCATTCTGGAGTAATGTCTCAAAAATCTGGTCGTTGGCTTGTTCGCTGAGCTAAGCAATTTGATTGCCCAGCTCAGCGAACAAGCCAACGACCATCTACGCTACCTGAGCTACCAACATTTTCCTCTCCCAAAAATCTTTCGGGAATACTGGGTCAAAAGCAGGATGTATTGGAAACCCAAACCAAAAAGTATTGAGAAAGCGTATCATACTTAGCTGATAAAAGATTGTACTAAATCAAGACAAATATTTGCTGGATATACAAGCAGTTCCGTGTGAAATCCGTTGCATGAACTGGATACTGCTCGATTCAAAAAGGTTAACGGATCTCACCGATTTTTAAACGATCATCAGTCTTGGGTGGTAAGTTTATCATTCAGCCAATTCAATCTGTTTGATCTGCTGCGTCGAATACTTTCACTGCTTAGAGTTATGTGAATACTGGTGGAGGAGAATATTAGCATACGGTCCCACAAAAAGGACAGACAGATCGATGAATAAAATCTTATCTTAGTTATTATTTGAACACAGACAACCAGAAGTTGGTACACAATACGGGTAAACACAAAAGTTATGAACGATGTTTTGTAAAAATCAATGTATGAATGCACCACCGTTTTCAGTTCATTCATAGTACACTTGGGCCATTATTCTACTTGATCTACATAATATATGAGATTGTTTTTCTGCTTCCTGACAGCCATGTCGTTTAAAACTTAGGTCATTAGACCTGATAGTATCAAGGGAGTGCAAAGTACAAACACTCTCAAACGGTACTGGGATTTCGTTCAGGGGTACGAAATATCGCATACCATTCAAATTTTCAGCTTTGATTCATGTCATATGTGAAAGCTGACATTTCCCATGATACTGGATAATGTGTGGTTCTGTGCTCTATTGAAAATGAACAAATAGGGATAGGTTACATCAAGGTATGAATGGTCAGCTCTTGTCGCTCTTGCTGGGTTACTGAGATGCTTCAGTTTATAACAACACAAAGGGGGACATTCTGAGATACCGTATAATGGCAAGGTTTTGGAGTCCAGTATAGTTGATCACAAAGATATTTCATGTTCACAAACCAGTCGGCGACTCAATAACTCAGTGAATGAGCTCAAGACAATTCAGTGATCGAGGTACGAATTTCCTGACAGGAAGGTGCGTGATTCGGACTCAACCAATGCATTTCCCTAGACTGCTCCTGTCCAGACTTAGGCAACCCACAATATCTTAGTCCACGTGCTTTCTTCGGGTTGCATGGTAGCTATGCGAAAAACGGGTGTTACAGCCAAACGATAAGTTATTATTTTGTCAACTCCATGATTCATAAACAGTGTTGAGAACGCAACAGAACCTTATGTGAAAGTTCGACTGAGTTCTGAGTTCTTCATAAGGTATTAACTCGAATCCTGAGACCAGTTAATTTAATCCCTCACAGGCTTATGTAGCTCCAGAGAGCCTTAATGATAACTGAATTACAGTTTTTCTAATGACGAAATGCCTTTTTCAGTCAGCATGCCATAAGTTGGCACGATAGTAGCAGGGCCATTGAGTTCTCCAAAGAGTATAAAACTGTATTTTCTATCGTGGAACTTTATTAATCAAAGGTTTGAAAGGATGCTTTCTGCATATGACTGCTAGTGACTGCTGCGTGAAATCTGGGTCACTTTGACTGATTGATTCTCAGTATGCCACCTTTGAAGAATACGTGACCTTGCACTGTGCCTTCCCAGTTCGTCAGTCATATGTACGAATGATCAGCACTATGTCAAGGAAGATTTTTCACCCCTGTCTTACCGACGAGAAACTCATGCCATAGAATGCGTTAATTTTCTAGTTAGTTTTACGAGTCCCTATTCTCAGCTGTATGAATAGCGAGAATGTATACGTTTCACTCGTCAGCGTCTCAAAATAGGATTTCTATCTACAAGTTGAAAAGCGCCTTTCATCAATTTCAACTAAGCTAGAAGTCATAAGCTATGCATATCTCACGAGTCCTCAAACAGATGTAAACCCACGCTACCTGTGATTTGGATGTATAAACAGTGTCATCCAGCAACAAACAACCGACCACAGTGCGGTGAGTGGGCGAGGTATTTTTACACAGTATCGCAGGGTGGCTTCGTGTGTCTTTGTGAAATCGGCTGACATTAATTGTCGATGGTTAATGCCTGACGGCAGACATCGCAAATCGAAACTTGGGTTGATCTAGGGGTCGGATGCCTTCTTACCCCTATTTATTCGATCATATGTTTGTCAAAGTTTCCAAAAAAACATTGGCCATTAGAATTGGTAGCTGGCTAAGTGCCAGTTTAGTAACAGACGTCTTAAAATAAAGCAATGTGACTGTAAGTATGATTTTCTTCAAAAAATAGTGCACTTGAACCACGAAAATCTTTATCAATAGGAAAACTGAGCGTATACCTAAGAAAGCTACCCAAAACACGTGTACGCGTTTCACAATATCGGGATTTCCGAAACAGATGGTTCGCTGGTCTTCAATTTGTTCGCTGAGCTCGAAACTTGTACCGCGGATATATCCTCATCAATCGAGGTGACACCATCAGTGTGCAATACTACTACTACTACTACTAATAATAATAATAACAATAATATTTCAGTTGTATCACCATTTGGGCACCTAGCCAAACTCGAAGGAAGAACAGGAGTCTCCTGGTCATTAAGACCACGCCTTAACCACCGGGCTAACTCGAGCTCACGCTCGAGCTCGTGTGAAGCGCAGTGGGACTGTGCCTTGGTGGTTGTGTAGTTGTACGCGAACTTGCGGAAAATTTTCAAGCCTAGGGAAAAACCCGACCACAATCCAGGTTGTCTTTACCGTACGCCATCATGGTGTTAAAAACCACGGACCAAGACTACGGTTAGGCAGGCGCAACAAGCTAAGTTCACATTGGTAAAAATGCAACCCACATGTGTTTGGATCGGATTTCCCGATGCATCAAAGAAATTTCCATCCCAGTATGCCCACGACTGGAAATGTTTGTCGGCTTGGTTCAACACGTTACTGCACTCGACAGTATTGATCGATTTCGGGTTACCATCAGGCGCACAGAAACCGAATTCCGTCAGAAATCGCCCACCTCCAGTCTGTTTGACGGCTCTGGCGCTATTCTCAAAGGAGGCTGGAATAAGATACTGTTAACAGGAGTGAAGTAGTTAGTAAAACGCTTGAATAAATTGAATACATCGTAACAAACTTTTACTTGTTCAGGGTGATAGAATTTCGTCCAAAAATTTGGACACATTTACGGGTACTAGCTATCCAAACTTAAGGGTAAACATCGTGTTTTGTTCATCAGACTCATCTGGACTTTCAACACTATTAGTTGAGACGGAATTATGTCGAACTATGATCCGTAGACAACTATCTGAGGACATGAATATGCTGAGACAGTAACCAGAGGCCATATGTAGCATGAATTGTTAAGATAGTACTGAAGGAGGGCAATTTGGTAAACTGATCAATCCAGTATTATCAGTATTCAACTAGAAAATACCGTGATATGGTAAATGAAAATGAAATCGAATGGTATGCGCCTACAGACACCACGGAGACTATACTACAGTATTGAGTGAGAATAATATTAGCAATTTTCTAACGGGCAAGTTTGAAATGAAATTTCTAATGACGATGGTTTCGTGATCATGCGTTTGTCCAGATAATCTGACAGCTTAGATAAATGGGCGAATGAGTCTGAGCGTTTTGAAATGCTGTTGGTCCCTTTGCTGCTTTGGAATATGTTGTAACCACTATACTGCCTGACATTTACGGGATGAAGAAGAGCATGACCGATTACGAAGTGGGTGCATTTAGCCAAGGGCAAGTACGCTCCAACAGAAGTAGTGTTATGGTCAAGGAGAGTGACTAGCAGATAGAATGAGCACACACACACACAGAGACAATCACACGCTACAGAATACACCGTTTGCCTATTCAGTTAATATCAGGTCCTAACCAGACTTTTATTTCGTTACGCATCACGAAAACTAATGGTGGGTGGTTACGGGATTCATCGATTTTATATTCACATCAATCCCGTTTGTACTGTCTTCCCGCTATCATCATCATCATTGTCAGCTGTAATAACCACGTACTCGTCGTACTGTGGTTGTAGCTGCCGCAGTTTCGTTCATCGATGGTTTGGGAAGGGGGGGGGCAGGTAGCTACGCTTTGCAAGCGGGACAAATTGTTCTGGTGAATCCGTTCAAAGATCAGCAGCACTGAACTCAAGTTTTGCTCCTATCAGAGCTCATCGGAAATGTATATCCTTAACCTTGCCAGGAGGTGAATCCCCTGAATTCTCATGAACCATCATCGTGTTAAGGGTGCGTATTCAGTCAGCTGACTGGACTGGTTTGGACTCTCATTCTTCGTGACCAACTGACAAACCGCACGTACATGCTGTTGTTGGGTTGTGTGCTCTGCTCACTGATTTCCTCCTCATATCGCTTCGTATGATGTCAGATGAACAAGCCTCACAACAGCAACAACAGGAACAGATTGCAACGCAAACTACGTTCAGCGCTACCAATACATACTCATTTTCAAATTACTTTGGAGTTAACAGGAGACTACTTGAGTCTATCAGCTAGGCTAGTATTCAACAGAATTTGCCGCACAATGACTGCCTCATATTGTAATTGGCATGCTATTCGGGTTGCCGCAATACGTTTGCTCGTCATAACACATTACTCATAAGTTTGCTGAGCTAGTGTATCCCATCAATACACGGGATTTCATGTTCAAGCAGAACATAGAGTGGATGAAATCTGGGGAACCACGCCCAGCTGATTAGTCACAAGGACGACGAAACCGGTAGTGTTTTTTCAAAACGTGAGTAGCACGTTCCATTTAGAGCATCATTATTTTCGACGGAAGAATAATCTGGCCGTACATCATTACCAGATGCCTTATCATTGATAGATAAGTGGGCAAGTACCATTCCAGATTTCTATATTCGCCAGATGATCCTATCACATATGAAGCCTGGTTTAAGGACGGGGATCTATTGGAAGTGAATGGGAAAATTCCGAATGACACAAACAGCATTCATCTACACTCTGACGCATTATTATATCTGACTGCTGTCCCCGCTCTAGTGCTTAGTGCTGGAAAAAGGACTCATCGACAAGGAACACAGCAAGCGAGTGCGTGAACGTACAACGGCATCGCACCGTATTTTGGAAGGCACTGTCTGACCTCCATCAAGGGCTTTCTGATCGGTGTTTAATGGAGATTAAGGGTCTCGGTAGGTTTCGGTAATGTTTACAATAATTAGCACCCAATTAGAGGAGTAAAACCGTACCAAAAGTGGTCAGCATTCACCTACGTTTACTAGCCGGGATGGTGAATTTGTCAAACCATTCATCAAGACATCCAGTGACATAGCTTGACTTGTCGTATTCCAATCTAGAATAACGTCGGCAAGACCCAGCTTGTTCTTTGGTATTTGTTTGATGACCGACAGACAAAACAGTGTGCCGTGTCTCAACTCTTTCCAACACTTCTCCACAATATTTGGAGCTGAACATATTGGTTCCGAACAATATGATGCTCTTCTGTGGTCACCTAAGTTTATCTTCCCGACTAAACCTGCTGTTTAAAAGCATCATGTCACGATGAAGGAATGGCTTTCAAGATATCGGAGTTGCAGCTGCCCTGTTATAAAGTGCAGCATGTTTTTCAGCGTTTTGTGGCACCAATGGGTAATATAAATTTGGCGTAATAACCTCAAAATTTCCTGTTACTAAGTGCCATACGGGACGTTACAACGGTTCGCTTAATTCAGACAGTGTAAACTTTGAACCTCTGCAGAAGTCTTACATCCACATCTCTGATGTAAAAGCACTACGGCAATAAAAATACGGCCCAAATTTTCGCGAATTACATGAAAACGGAATCCTGCTTTATCAAGAAGAATGACGGTGTCAGTTCCTTCGAAGTGGCAGCGTACGGGAGAGGTTAGATATCACAGTCAGATGCTCATTGCTTCCTTGCATCAATTAGCGGTATCATTTTCAAGGACACGATGTTTTTCAACGTTAGTTATTTTGCTGTGCCTCGAAAAATTTGCTCCCGGCGAAGCAGTTCCGTATGCTTCAGATGAAGCCATCAAGTGCAAACAGGAAGTTGCAAGGGGTTAGACAAAACAAATGAAGAAACTTATAAGGATTCCTCTCAGTAAATTCCAATCAAAAAGCAATTAATGAGTACATCACATAATTAAGAGACTGTAGAGAGCAGCTTCACAGGTTAAAATGGGTCATTTCAGAGAGGTTGTTTGTAGGCCACAACGAAAGCAGGTGCATATACCGACAAGGAATGACAATGTACCAGCAAGTAACACTCTAGTTAGGTTTTGTTTAACAACAATTAGACTAAGTAAAAGGGCACCAAATTTCGCATATCGGCAGGGTCAACTTGCGGGGATCCACCAATACAGATACAGGAATCTTTGCTGCATATCTATGGGATAGTCTTGGTTCTGTGATGACCAAGAGGTGTACTTGTAACATTGTCAGTCAACGAGTAGGGATACGTTTTTAGGCTGTCACTTGCCACTGGTGTGCAGATTGCCTGCTTTCTACAGCCATACTTCGGGTCCAATCCGCGAATTTTGTGTTACAGAACATTTACGAGTTACAGTATAATAGCCCTATTTCTCAGCATGTCTGTCGTCTAAACGGCAGAGACGATACTCATATTTATTATTTCTGTTTTACTCGCCCGTTGATGAAGTAAAGACTGGATGAATTACCAACGTCATGTGTCGTCAAAAGGCACACCAAACTCCGAGCAGGTTAACAGGCCCATCAACGCTGTGAATTACAGGACGAGTGATGTGTGCGATTGTACCAAATAAGCAGTAATTTCAAAAAGCAGCATATCACCCATTTCACATAACAATTTGACTCACCATATCACAAATGGCTCTCTCTATGAACGTCATATTTCTTGAAAGATTGGCCAACTGAAATAGCCAACAGTAGTAGTGGTAAGACAAGACGCTTTTTCTGGCGGCTTCTGGATCAGTCAAAGAACCAGGCACGCGGCTAAATCCGGTTCCAGATCCGAATATCGTTGGCGGGAAGAAGATCGCGTAGGTGAGAGGTTCGTAGAATATTAGTGTTTCCGTATCGAATTTTCTTATTCGACTGACCAGATAATCATAGACAGGAAGAAGGTAGCGTCGCCCCATGTATGCTGCGAAATTGCAGATGGAATAAAGTGATTCTGTACAATCATGAAACAAACAAAAATGTATGGGCGTACTCGTAATTCTTATTTACAAGGATCCAGGACACAGCAAGGCCTACTTTCTTTTTCGCAAGTGAGTTTCACAGTACAACAGAGGCCCGCTAATCTCACACAAAGATTCCGCAACTAATTCTGCAGCATGCGCTTTTTAAACTGCCTGAAATTGGGCGCTTTTTCTTCATGACTCTATACGAAACTTGGTTTTACATACACACAGCACTTTTTATCTCAGTCGACTGCACGGCTTGCGCACCACATGGTCCTGACTAAGCCCTGGGAAACGGACGTTGAGTGCCACTAAAATTACTGGTTTGTCAGTGCGTGGTTAGTCTATTCACCTACAGAATGTGTTTTGATAGACCAGTCCATTTTGAAGTTTGTAGAGGCCGGTCCACTGATTGATCAATGCTATGACTCACTTACATGTCCACATGGCCTACTATGAAGGGACACTATGAAGGGACACAGTAGTAGAACAAAGTAGAATATAAGGTTGACGGAAACTCTGGGACTGCGCCTACCTGATGAGCCCCAAGAAGGGCGAAATCGGTTGCAGGTTGTCGAAGGGATTTCAGCAACCTTGCGAGTAGTTTCCTCTATGAAAACACATACAATAGGTTTATTGGAGCAGATGCCAGAAGTACACTTGATCTGTGAGCGCACACAACTTATTCTGAGATATCTAACAGCTGGCTTAGCCGATGGGAAAAGCCGATGCATCGAGGCTCCAGCGGGTCGACGCATGCGCTAACGTACAGTCAACAGATGCGAATGCCTAGAATATGGTGCAATTTCCCAGGCGCGTGGGTGCATTTGGATGGAAAAACTCCAAGCACAGCGATCGGACAGATATCCGAGAAGAATGTTTTCATAATTTGTACCGGGCCTAAAAAACTATGAGAATAAGATACACGCTCTGGTGAATCCAGTGATGCTGTTCGCGATGGCAGTTTCTTACGTATTATTTTTCAATATAGCACAACTGAAAACAGGAAAAGCGAGTATTTTGGAGACTATGGGCAAAAAATGGACAAGCAAAAGTGAACCTTATGAAGTCTCATTGGTAAACGTCTGTTGTCCTTTTACTGGACCAAGAGAGGGGAGTATAAAATCCTTTAGAAGGCAATGCACCATGATCATTCACTAGAAGTGATAGCTCAGAGAATCTCTTAGCGGTTTACAGTAAGAAAACATATGGTGGTACTGTATAGACAACATGACTAGCATCCGTTTCTCCCGTCGAGAGTTGTTTGGAGTATGACAAATTATGTTAATATTGTGCTACTGAGCGCTTGATAAGAGTTATCGACCGTTAACCGGTCATCAGAAGTTCGTGACATATCTCTTCAAACAAATTTTCGATGCTCATGCGCAAGACTTTATTTATCCGTTGCTTTGGTGAACAAGAACCCCACCAATAGGTGGGAACGGAAGAGATGCTTTGTAAGGATTTTGGCGTAAATAACAAGCACCAGTGCGTGTTCACTGGGAGACGTCAATCTGCATAATTTCCCACTCGGAGTAAGCCCTCAATGTACGAATATCTCGGTGCACGACTTGTTTTGATCTTTGACCGTACTTCTGTTGAACTGTCTCTTGGTTTCGTCACATACTTTTGTCTCGCTTTTTCTAGCAAGATTGTGTGTTTTTGGCTTTTTAAAAACTTTTAGCATCATTAGTTGGAACCCTTTAGTCCTTTCGAATAATATGCAACTTTTTCGCTGCTGTCTTTCCTTAAGGATGCTGAAATCGAAGTGGCCATGGAGAATATAGCCGCAGGCGATGCATTGAACATATGCACGTCCTTCTTGCTATCGAGTTAGCCATATATCTTTATTTTAGGGTAATTTAGCTTTAAGGTAGCGGCATGGCATAAACAGTTTCTGGTCAGTTTGGTTTACAGCTGCCAGAAATTATGATGCCTCATGCAGGGCGATATACTCACACTGCTTTACAAGCATTGTGAACGAGAGATTAGCCTGGGTTGCAGGTGAGTCTCCCGCAAAATAAATTGGTTCGCTAAGTATGCCATACCGTTTCTTGCCACACTTCGTTCAGTGGACATTAGGTTTAGGCCACCAAACTCTGAGGTTGGGTAGGACGCCAGCTGATCAATGCCCGAGTTTGGAGCTTAGGGTAGTCCGAGTGTCTGTATGTGAGGTCATTCCGAACCTCACCATGTTTTCTATAGTGTTGGAGATGGAGTGGTTTGGAGACATCATGAGCCAACTGTTAAATGATGTAATGTCAGCTCAAGCTGAACGAGTCAGAACAGGCAATAAGCTCGGCGCACTAGTGTCGCTAAGCCAAACTGGACCCATGTATCTTTGAGGCAACAGGCAAGACAGGAAATCTGTTTGATGTTAATAGGAAGAACCAACCCCAGCTGGCTGTCGAAAGGAATCTGTGAAATGGCTCCACAGGATACTTGTGACCAATACGCTGCTGAACTACTACGGATAATCCAACAGGAGTTTGCCCTTGGACAGGAATAGAAGCAGTATGCAATACAGCTTGGTTCACACTGGCAGCCAGTAAATAGATTAAAGGTTGGAAGGTTGGAGGAATAGGGTCTGGAAGCATGCTATGAATGACACAAGTCCAAGAACTAATCAACCGGATAGTAAGCGATTCATCATTAGAAATGAAGAGAATACGACTGTCGTCGGTTAGCCATGGAGTAGACAGGTAAGTTTTAGGACTAACGACGTATGCTTTGAACTTGGTATACATGCTTACAATTCACATGCTGGTCAGTAAACCCACTTCATCTAACCAGAATAACGGTAATTCCAGAGTGAGCTGCGCTCAAACAGAGCGGCGGATAACATCATAGACCTGTGGAGTCAAAATTCTAGAGGTCACATAGCTGAACGTTGTTGATTACATGCCTGTGTTTCCGTAAACAAAACCTATCACGTCCCTTAAACTATTCAAAGTGGAGCCATTCACTTGTAGGTAGCCCTCAGATATTGGCTGGTTGTCTGCTACTAATACCTGCTTAACATCTACCTGGAACGGAAACTCTCCTCACAAATGATGGTTTCTTCACGTCTCGACGAAATTTAGGCTTCATCGGGATTCTCGATATTGCCATCGCTTTTACATCCCACATGCTTCCCACTCCTCAAAAATTGAAAATACACCCCATAACTGTTTATGCTGTAACCCTAGTTGTAGCAAACGCCATTGGAACGAGTAACATTTCAGCTCAAATGGAATGGACAGTTTGAGTGACTCGACTCATCGCATTCAAGCCCTCCAATTCAGCAGACATTCCAACCGATTCATCAAACTTAACATGAACAGTATAAGCAAGAGTGGTCATGAATTGTATCACTAGGCTATAAATCTGTTGCACGAGTACTATAAGATACTGATACTTCAGAATCCGCTGGTTCTTCCGCACGAGCAAACCTTACAACAATACCTAGCTCGGAAAAAAGACGGGGGCCCTAAAGGCGAAGGTGCGTTATGTGTATGGTTGAATGCTTGAATAATCAGCGATCTAAGCAGACCAGGAGTGCAGAAAATTTGGCACACGAGTGAACTAGCATGAAAGGCAAGCCCGATCTAGTCAACGTTATGTATATGGTTGAATGCCCGAATAATCCAGCAATCTAAGTAAACCAGGAGTGCAAAAAATTAGGCACACGAGTGAACTAACATGAAAGGCAGGCCCGACCTGGTCAGGTAGAAAGGGGTAAAAAGACTCGGCCTTTAATCTTCAGGAGTAGGAGGAGGACGATCAGGTAGCTTACAAAATGCTGTCGTGATTAACCAAGGACTGAATTCATAGGGGCTACTGCGATTAACTTGCTATCCCAGTGCATCAGTTACACCAGTTGATAGCGAGCGTCAGCAATCTAATGGCTAGTAACAACCACATGGACGCACTGACTTCATGATACTAGAATGAATCGCAGTCACGAAGACCTCCATTTCGAGTATCCGATATAATTGGCGTTGGATTACATGACTCCACTAAGTGTTTCCTGCCGCTCAATTTCACTTGGAGTGAAGATCAGTGAATTTTGCTCAAAAACAGCAGAACTGAGACAGTCTAGGACACCGGAGAGAAAGCCATTTCAGCTTCCTTGCCTATGTATTCTCACTCATCAAGTATATCACTGGTCGCCGATAAACAGGAATGAACCAGTTTATCTGCATTCCTGTTCTATTAAACAGCTCAACTCTGGTTTTACAACCCCCTTAGTGCCCAGCTTTCTTCAGTTTATTCGAATTACTCTTTTAGAAGCTTACAAATTACCTTCTGTGGGCTGAATTTTGATTCAGTAAAATCTGCCAGTTTATCTGCATTCCTCTTCTATTAAATAGCTCAACTCTGGTTTTACATCCCCCTTAGTGCCCAGCTTTCTTCAGCTTATTCGAATTACTCTTTTGGAAGCTTACAAAATACCTTATGTGGGCTGAATTTTGATTCAGTAAAATCTTTTGAAATCCAGGTCAAAATATTCGTAATAATAATCATTTGACTTCCTTCGTGCAGCCAAATAATGGACCCAAAAAACGTATCCAAAATTCTGCCGTTCATGACAGGGTAAGTGCTTCAACCTCTTAGAACAGACACCTAAATCATGACCGACCCCCCAGTGACCCGAACTGTATGATCTAGAAATAACACTAGAGAGCAAAAATAAATGATCGAAAGGTTACATTCGCTGGGTAGATTGGGTTCATTAGGAGCTTTTTAAAAGAATTTTGGATGCCCTCACAAAACATACTTTAGTGTCCAAAACCCCTCCCTGGTGGAAGTGGTGGTCCCTATCAGTCATTCTAGACTGGGGTATGTTCACGCAGCAGATGACCATATTCTATCACTATAGAAGATAAACGTTTAAATACGATGGCAGTTATCCCTAATGGCCTCACCTACTAGTGACTCGACGCTATGAGAAAACAGTGCAACGTCAATTTCACACTAAGGACTATACTGTTCTTCCTGTTAGCGTACTTTCCAACAAAGGAAATCTCAGCTTTAATTGCTTATAAAGCAGTTCGTCATTCTGTCCTGGTAGCTGCTGGAATACATTCAACGGATGTTCAAAAAGACAAGTAAAAAATACTGTTCTAAGTCCACTTACCAGGTAGTGCTCTTCGTGGATCTTTGTAAAAATTTCCCGTCACAGGTTCATTAATCAGCTCATAGCCAATAACATTCGAACGATTACCAAACGTCTTGGCCACTTCTTCCCAATAATCACCCCAGTATGTCCAGATGCCCGAAGTATTTTCATACATTTGCTGAGCGCAATTCACACACGAATAAGTGAGATAGTTCTTGAACCAGTAGCGTTCAGTTGGGCGTGACCAATAGGGCCAAGGGTACTGGAGCCACCACGGGGTCTTGCAGGCCTCATCCACAAGCCATCGTGGGATGCCATCATACATGCCGAATTCACTTGACAGTGCGTCTTGATGCATGTCCATGAGTACATAAATATCATATTGAGCACACAGATCGATAATTTCACCAATTTTCTTCATGTAATTTTTGTCTACATATCCTTTGGTGGGCATCACTCCGGTCCAGATAACTCCTAGACGGACCACATTGATTCCCCAACTCTGCCACAGTTTCAGCTTGGTGGTATTGGTCATCTCCTCTGGGTACCATGGTGGATTTTTGGTTACTGCGTTGAACCCATGAAACAGCATCACTCTTCCATGTCGATCCACGAAATTCCCATGACTGTCAAGTCTTATTTTGTCTAGTTCTGCAGCAACAACTTCAAGACCGACAACAAGGAGGAGAAATCCCACACCAGGTTTCATGATGTTCACTTAGGAAGCTTGGAAATGCTTTGTAGGATGCCGTCGATGAGCTTATAACTAGGCAGCTGAAAATGTGTTGTAATAGATTAGGTCCGTTGACCTATTCGTGACTGATTGAATTCACATGGCATCAAACGATTGTTTATTCTAACGACTGTGTTGTGTAAAATCACTTGACCCAGACCAATCCGGATGCTGCTTTTGTCTGTGTGTGTTTGTATGTATGGTCATGCTTGTAAGTCTCTCAGAGAATAAGACCAAGCACCCACACACCCTCTGAACAACTAGACGTACAGTCCGATTGTCTCGTGCTGCCATCTGATCTGTTTACATTAGTTTGCTGGAAGACTGTTGCTACTGTTGTGTAATATGCAGCGTTCTTCGCCCCGTCCATGATTAAACAGAGTACGGACAACTTTCGATAGGCAGGCACTTGGACCCCTACTTCAGGTTGAACGAGGAATCCGTGTTAGCCTGGCTAGGGCTCAAAAGAGAGGGTGCGATGCACGACACCGAGATACTCAGGCTCATGTTGTCAGGTTTTGTGATGAACCTACATATCTCAGTTTACTGGAAGTTCCCCGTTTCCAGGAGTGTTCAATCTATGCAACTTAATGCTCAAAAGCCACCCAGCGTGCAGGCACCGAACAACTTAGTTTGATTTGAAAGCAATAACCAGTGACGAATCCTTAAAACATTCAAGTGGCCTGTTTGGTTAAAATTTCCGCACCACAGAAAAACAGTAATTGCGCATTTATGACAACCGGTACTTCCAGAAAGTGAGTCAGTCATCACTAGAGCACCGCTTCCCTCAAACAAACATACTCATAACGATCCTTTCTTTAACACGACACCTATTTCATGTCATACGCACGACGACGACGTCTCTCCAACTTGAGATGCAATGGGCTTTTTTTTAGTGCGATTCTCATTCTTTCGCAGTTGCGGTTGGTAGATCAAGATGGTCTCAAGGTTTTCAACCGGTATTTTTGCTGACAAGACAAGGAGTAAACTGACCCGATGATGGTTGATTGGAATGCTTTCTATGCATGTTACCCTGAACAATTCCGATGCGTTGATCTGATGGTTAGTATCGATCAGAAGCCTTCAGAGTGATATGCAGAGTGCCACCAAATTGTCTTGGAACTGCTGTTTGTATAAAGGAAACTGCTTACATATACTCGAATATCATACCAACTGAAACATGAGGCGGCCTTTGTGCAGCACATTTAGTTGATTCAGCAGATTCACTTGGGTCTCCAGTGAAAACCAAATTGATTTGCAAGTAAGTATACTTGTAATTGCTGTTTGGTTTTCTGATCCCTCCCTGGGTAACGAAAAGTGCATGTAAAGATCTTGAAATTGCAGTCCCCACAAAAAACTCATCAGACGGTGCCAGTGTTTCGACCATTTCGAAGTTTCCTGTTATTTGTTATCTGCTCAGAGGGTCAGTATTGTTTGGGCAAAAAGTTAATTTCACTTTGATGAGCGGAAAAATTAACACGATTTGGCACTTGACTGAAAAGGTGAATTGACAGTGACATCGCCTCTTTACTTGGCTGTTCACCGATGTTCTATGAAACGCATATTCGGGGAAGTGTTTCGGCGAAGCGACACCGCTTAACTTTGTGAGCTACGTGTAAACTTCGCATCACCTAGCGGCTATTCTGAGGACACTGGACGTGGAATGTATGCGTTCAGAACTGATTTATGCCTCATACCATTAGCGGGTTGGGTCTGTGGCTCTTCTCTCAGGTGACGGAGTGTAAATTTTTCTTGCCAAGTGTCTATAATATGTGTTCGCGGGGGAGAAGGGATTCTGCCATTATAACACAATTTCGCTCGGCGGTTCCCAACCTTTTTTCACATCATGACTCTTCTTCGCAATAGTCAAGTTTTCGGTGACCTATATGCTCTCGGATAATTCTCTCAACTAGTTCTCCACAGGCCCAATAAAACTGGCCGTTATTTCTGGTTTTGATAAAGTTAGTACCAGTCGTTGGCCTGAAGTCTTTTTCTGACCCACTGGTTCCAGAGTCCTCACCAGATATAGCCGCCATTTACATACTGTGCAAAACAGGCAAGATATTCCATCAAAATCAAGCCTCAGGGCACTTTACCTGGCTGTTACAGTACCGTGTAGTACTGCTTTGCCTTTGTCTGTATCATAGTCTAAATATATAGAGAGATAGAGTGAGTGCGTGAGTGCTTATCACCGTTCACTTTAGAAGAATTGGTATTGCCACAAGTCAAGGATTATATTTTTCGGTGTAGTGTCGCTATTTAAGAAAGAATATCCGTGCCACCTTGGTCGGATCCGATCACAGGCATTGTCCAGGATGTATATCTTGGTGCTGAAATTACCTTGGTCAGAGACAGTTTGGTCTCAAAACTCGAGGTAAGTTTGACGAACGTCGATTATCAAGGTTTTGTCAAACCCCGTGTATGAAGATCTACAAACTCGTCGGCAAGCTCAATTGAGTGAAGAAACCCGCAGTTGGTGAGTAAGCTAAGAACTGCAGAAAACACCCAATATCTCTTGGCATAACCTGAAATGTTTGGAACTGCAGAGCTAAAACCGGTATGCTAACAGATGGGTAATATAATTAAAAAAATCCAGACTATTTTATTCTCTGGTTTCACAAAAAGCCAACCCATCAAGAGACAAGAGATAGGATGCATAAACCAGCATACACAATTTTGGTTCTGATGTGATTCCAGAATATAAGTGTCATTTTCTTAAACTGGTCTCATTCATGAGGCTGGAAAGCGGTTTCAGTAACCTCCTGAATCAGTCAATCTACCCAGTCCAGTCAGTAAAGTCAAGATCAAAATCTACTGTGTATCATAACAGATGAAAGATATTACACTAACCATTGTCCAGTTCCAAATATATGCACTATGTAGGTCAGTGAGGAAAGCCTGAGCTGTAAGGGGATGGGCTAAAGTCTGCCAAGGGTGTCTTACTCGGCTGATGGGTGCAGTGCAACGCTGGTGGTCATTATTGCATAGACAGTAATGCAATATCGAATTAAAACGAGAAGTTTGAGAGTGATGGCTCGGGGAAAGCTAAGCTCAGGCAACCCCACCCCATACAACGCTATTCAGCTAGCACTGATTCGTTGATTCAAATGAAGCAGATTTTAGTATTCTGCATTTGTGCACCCTGAGGATATCCAGCTCGCGTGCAACCATGGACGTCAAAAACAAAAATATTATAATGCCATATTGGCCGTCGCGTGGCAATATGGGCTGGGTCATCTTACTATCCCCACCCTCTGGATTGATGTATGCTACCTGTCACAAACAAGGGTACAAGAGGAAAGCACTATAACTGAACCGACTGATCATTGGCAGCTCCCGACTGCTCACATCTGGTTATGCGGGGGCCAATGTACCTGAGTATGCAGGATGGATATCGTATTGACTGATCAAGTGGAAGCGCCCCTGTGTCATAAATACATGTTGATGTCACCTCTGCGTGGTTCGTTTAGCAACATCTGTGAAAGAATTTCGAGAAACTGAGGCTCATCACTCAATTTTTATTGTCTACCCATACCCTAAGAGTACAGCTGGAATCGCTTCATGAAGCAAAGTCCACAAATAGACCAAACTGAAACCCAGCTAGACCGCATTTCCATCACTTACTGGTGGCTTGGATTGGCCACTACCTGCCAGTCACTCTGGAATACCTCGTGGAATTCAGTCATGCACCTGTCCGCAGCTGCTTTTCATTGCGTAAAACGAGCATTTGCCGCTTAGCTATGGTCCCTGCGGAGAGATTATGTGAGGAGTCTTCAGATTTTTTATACCACTGGTGTACCGGAGTGGCTGTCGTCGTCGGATTTTGTTAACGAATTCGTACTGAGTTTATTAGGAGACGGGTAGTTGGCTGTGCAGCAGGTACTTCCATCACGAATAACATCCAGCACCATTAGCTGTAGAAGCTCGGCCGTATTCTACGCACTGCGAAACATCGTCTACCGAAATACCGTCTATCTATCGTGCCACTTTCGGAATTGCACATAGCGCGAGCTGGTCAGCTCACAACTTGGTTGAAGGGGATGAAAGGGATTACGAAGCGTTTAGTCGTTCTTGGTGTGGCCCACTATGGGGTTAGCTTGATCGCCTGAGCTTGGCTGGAGACACTGACAGAAATGGCAACCAGCCGATGTGAGTGGGTTCAGTGCAGTCAGTTTCTCTCCAGATTGTCTGTTTAGCGTTTAGTGTTGTAGGCACCTTAGGATGCTTGCGATAAGCCAGCACCAGATCCCTCTCTTGTCCACTAATTTTACTTTCTTTTACTCTGTTACTTCAAATATAAGTACATAAACTGTTTTCTTGTACGGTGGTGAAGCTTCAGGACCAACACTGATGAACACAACTTCTAGCTACTGTGGTGGATCTGTTCGACTTAAAACCGGTTGCTGTTTTCGGACTAAATAGGTTGAAGTTCCACGAGGTGGTTCAAAACGTGTTGGCATTCTGCCTGCATAGAAGCGACGTTCAGTTCTCCTCATATCGATTTCAAAGTTGAGCCCAATCGACTGTGCTTCTGCATGAAGTCGACTAAGGTTATTCATATTTCCCCACATCGGCTGAAAAGCCGCCAACCGGTTCCATATTCTCCACTGTTTTGAAGAACATCAGGTATCGTTGTGACCGTGTTCGACCAGCAGTAACATGATAATGGTTGACTAATTCAATCCAGCACGAAAAAAAGATGGAAATCAACCCCTTTGTTTCAACCGGCTGAATAAGTTTAGCTTTTAGGACATCAATATCAGACAGAGAGAGGTGTTCAAGAATTGCTATAATCACTCGCCAGTTGCCAGGGCAAAAGAGTCACTCCTGAAAGTCCTGAAAGCGGCCATTATAGGTACACTATCCGTAAAGGGCTAGGCGAGGCTTTTCTATGGCAACCTTGCCAAATGATCTAAACGATAGCTTAAGTGAAGGTCCGTTGCCTGAGACGCTGTCAGATGTTCGAGACAGAACAGCCCCTAACTCAGAGCGGCCCCTGCGACAGTTTCTGAGATGGGCAGAATACCGTATCCGGTTTGTCATGGATTCCGACCTCATCGCAGCCCGACTGACCATGATCAAATG